CCCGCGACAGAAATGTGTTTTTGAATGGACATTAAATGTGTTGAGCCCCATACCGAGAAAAGGGTATTTTAAAAAAATTTCCATCGACCGGAAACATTTTTAATGTTTTTCATTGTTTTTTATTTCAATATTTTGATAGAGCGCTTGACTTTGCCAGAATGCCTCACATTTTACATGCCCAGACCTCTAGATCTAGTTCTCCGTCACGCTTGCTAAACCTAATTTTGATCAATCTATTCTACATATCAGACTTCTAGTCTCTCTGGTCCTAGATCTAGCTCTTGCTACACCGAGTTTAGATTCATCCATTTTGCATGTCAGACCTCTAGTCTTTAGTTTTAGATCTAGCACTCCATCGCTCTTGCTGCACTTAGTTTAGATTCATCTATTCTGCATACCCAGAACTATCTAAATCTAGCTCTCCGTCGCTCTTGCTGCACCTAGTTTAGATTAATTTATTTTGCATGTCAGACTTCTAGTCTCTTTAGTCCTAGATCTAGCTCTTGCTATACCTAGTTTACATTCTTCTATTCTGCGTACCCAAACCCTCGCCAAACCCTCGCCAAACCCTCGCTTTTGCTACACCTAGTTTAGATTCTTTTATTTTTCATGCCCAGACCTGAAGTCTCTTTAGTTCTAGATCTAGCTCTAAATCACTTTTGCTGCACCTAGTTTAGATTAATCTACTCTGCATATCAAATCCTCAAGATCTAGCTCTCCCTCGCTTTTGCTACACCTAGTTTAGATTCATCTATTTTACATGTCCAGACCTGTAGTCTTTAGTCCTAGATCTAGCCCTCCATCGCTGTTGCTGCACCTAGTTTAGATTCAGTTACTCTGCATAACCAAACTTCAAGATCTAGCTCTCCATCGCTCTTGCTGCAAACTTCAGGAGACGCGCCAAGCAGTACACCCACCTACAACTGTGATGGGGATAGCATCAGCCTTGGCAGACTCCCCGCGTCCGTTGCGCATGGTGCAGCTGTAGTGGCCATCATTGACGTCAGAGACCGCTTTGATGGTGAACATAAAGCGGATCTGACCGATGCTGTCGAGTTTGAACTCAGTGGATCTGTCGACCTCCAGGTAGTTCTCTGTTTTTGTGCGGTCAAAGTAAAGGATGGCCTCCGTAGAGGTTGAGCTGGCTCCTAGACAGTACAGGGTCAAGGTCATTCCGGCTTCTAAAGATGGTGACTGTATTGTGAAGATCTCCGGCGTGGAAGCTCCTCCGGTTGCTGAGGAAATAGACAAAGAGAGATTGAGAAGGAGGGAGAGGGGGATAAGAAGAGAGAGAAGGGGGAGGGAGGGAGAAATAGAGGCAAAAAGAGGCACAGAGGGAGAGAGAGAGAGAGAGAGAGAG